AAATGCCGGCTAGACTGGCCGATGCACCATTTTCTCTACACATGTGCGTTAGTTACCTTTCAAACCCGTACGTTCACTAGATGAATATATTTCCTACCTTCTATTTGAGTGAGACCACTAGATTCCGTGTACTATGCGAGATCTGAGCGCTTCCGTTCTCCCTGGCATTTCCACTCTAATTTCCCATACTGACTGACCTGGCCAATGCACCATTTTCCATATACATATGTATTAGATTCCTTTTGAACCTTACTAGCTCACTAGATTTATATATTTTGCACCTTCTGATCGAGTGAGACCGCTAGATTCCCTTTACTTTTTGAGAAATGAGCGTTTCCGTTCTCCTTGGCCCTACTTGCACTAGAAGTGCGAGATGCGGGCCTGACTGGCCGATGTACCATTTTCTCTACACATGTGCGTTAGTTACCTTTCAAACCCTTACGTTCACTATATGAATATATTTCTTACCCTCTGTTTGTGTGAGACCACTAGATTCCGTGTACTATGCGAGATCTCAGCGCTTCCGTTCTCCCAGGCATTTGCACTCTAAGTTCCCATACTGACCGACCTGGCCAATGCACCATGTTCCATATACATATGCATTATATTCCTTTTGAACCTTATTAGCTCACTAGATTTATATATTTCCCACCTTCTGATCGAGTGCGACTGCTAGATTCTCTTTACTTTTAGAGAAATGAGCGTTTCTGTTCTCCTTGGCCCTACTTGCACTAAAAGTGCGAAATGCTGGCCAGACTTGTGAAAATGAGAACGAGAATGAATGAACTATGAATGAAGTGGGTACAAGTACTAAACCTAATTGGGTTGTACCCCCTATGGGATACCCCACTACAGCCTACACAAAAGCATAAGCTATAATGTTCTGACACACCCCCATAGGCAAAGTGGGAGTGGGGGAGAACAAGGGGTCACAAGTCCAGTCAAGCAAAGCAAAGCAAAGCTAGCTCAGGGTGGATCACAAAGTCACCACACAGTCCGAGCACAAGGTCAAGGCCACAAGGCCAGTTCACATGCAGCAGAAGACATATATATATAAGGCTAAACAAGTAAGAGTAGGTATATATATATGCAAGAGTACAAGCAAGATCAAGAGGTGAGAAAGTGAGGCAAGACAGGCACAAGACCTAGCTGAGTGCAGAAGCACCGATGATCACAAGGCGGAAGTGCCTTGGTGAAAACATCAGCAGTGTTGGCCTCAGAGGCCACGTACGCAAGTCGCAGCTTACCACGCTGCTGCAGCTCACGAGCAAGAAAGTATCGGAGAGCAATGTGCTTCGTTCTGTTCTCCAGGCGCTGCTCTCGACACAAGGCCAGCATGGCCTTGTTGTCTACGTACAGCACTGGAGGAGAACGAGGCACCTCTCCAAGGTTAGTCAGTAGGTAGGTGAGCCAGCGAAGCTCCTTAGCAGCCATGGCTCCGACGTAGATCACAGCCTCAGAACGGAAGATGAGCGAGTAGCCCACCACGAAACAGAGCCGGAACCAAGGCTGAAGGTGTAACCCCAAGACGACCGCTGTGTAGCCTGGTCGTCAGCCCACAAAGCGTTTGCGTGTCCAGCGAGGACCACCGGACTCTGCCCTCCAAGCACTAGCCCCATGCCCGACGTACTGCACAAGTAGCGCAACACCCTCTTCGCTCCAGCCATGTGCTCCGGTCTTTGTCTCCTAGGATCAACATAGCGTGCAAGAATGCTAAGAGGGTATGCAAGGTTAGGTCGTATGCAGGTTATCAGGTACATGAGGTAGCCGACAAGCTCTGGGTATGGGCCACTCGACTCTACGGACTCATCCGAAGGCAGAGCTGAGAGCGAGTGGTGAGTAGGCAGAGGAGTGGCCTGAGGCAAGGAGTACGTGAAGCCGAAGCGCTGAAGGACCTGCTGCACCATGTGTGACTGAGTCAAGGTAATGGTGCGGCGTGCTCTGTCCCGGATAATCTGCAAGCCAAGGTAGCTGCGCAGTTCACCCAGGTCTGTGCACGTGTGTCTCTTCAGCAGCTCGGACTTCACGTAGGCGAGTCCAGCAGTGTCAGCTGTGGCAAAGACCAAGTCGTCGACGTACACGAGGATGTAGAACGGCGGCAGAGAAGTGTCGGTACGCAGAAACAACGACGGGTCAGTATTAGAGGGAGCAAACCCAAGAGCCGCAAGCGTAGTCCTCAGTGTGTCGTGCCACTCACGCGGTGCCTGGCAGAGACCGTAGACTGGCCGTCGGAGGCTCCACTTGGTGCCAGGACGGAAAGTCCTCGTGCAGGCTACCCTGCAAGAAAGCTGTGCTGAAGTCAAGAGAGTGGAGCTCGTAGTCGCGCTGAGCGGCTATGTGCAACAGCACGTGAAGAGTGGTCATCTTCGGGGTGGGAGAGAAGGTCTGAAAGTAGTCAACTCCCTGCCGCTGACTGAAGCCACGAGCGACGTACCGCGCCTTGAAGACAGGTGGAGAGCCCGGCGGCCGCTTCACCCTGAAGATCCACATGCCACTGACGATGTTCGCCCCAGGAGGGGGAACCGCGTCAACATAGGTGCCTGTGGACTTCCAGGAAGCCATCTCTGCATCCATAGCTGCCTGCCACTGAGAGGAGTAGGGACCCTCTACGGCCTCCGCGTAAGAGCGCGGAGTCGGGATGTCTAGTGCATCCGGGTCTCCCTCAGGGGCAAGTAGTACGGACGCGAGATGAGGTGAAGCAGCAGCCAGACACTGGAACTCCTCCTGCCTGTCCTCAAGGACGTCCGTGCCAAGAGCACACTCACCCCCGACGGACGGAGGACAGACAGACGCAGACTCGGCAACAAGACTGGCAGCGTAGTCTATACGACAGCGATCAGCAAAGTCGACGAGCTCAGCAACAAGAGCAGACACAGCAGTAGACTCAAAGAAGGGGTCAGTGACAATAGTAGCAAGGAGATGCGTGACAGTAGGTTTGGCAGCACGAAGAGAGTCCAACTCTGGTTCGGCAAGTGCAGGAAGAGAGGACTCATGAGGAGAAGGCAAAGGGGGACGTAGAGGAGCAGTGGACGGTCGTAGAGACATCCGGTGCGTGCCACGGACAAGAGGAGGACGCTGACACGAACCGCGACCACTAGCGCGAGCAGTACGAACAGGCGACACGGGACGAGACGCAGGCTCACGACGCTCAGCAAGACCTCCTGTAGGACCAGTGTAAGGAGAGGGAGCAGGAAGTGGGGAGGCGGGCTCTAATCGTGACTGGGACTGGACAGGCGGTGGACACTCGACAGGAGGAGAAAGACCAAGAACCTGCTGCAGGAGCGGAACGAAGTACGGCCGAGGCTGCGCGGGAACTCCAGACACAGCACGAACAGCACTAGCGCCAACAGCACCTCAAGCTGCAGGACCTCCAGCAGCACCAGCAGCACCCGCAGCAGGCACACCGCCAGGAAGGACTGCAGCAGTCTCAGCACCGGCACCCTCAACAGATCCAGCTCCAGGCGGACCCGAAGGCCCAGGAGCTCCGGGACCGGCGGCACAAGTACCCTCAGCGGCCGAAGAAGCTCCAGCTCCTGCAGTACGCCTCCAGCGGCGAGCAAACCACTCGCGCAGCTCCTGTGGAGAGAGTGGCTCCCGCCGAGACGAAGCACCCGGAGAACCTCCAGGCCCCGCACCGCCAGACGCCACAAGGGGAGGTCCAGTGGCCGCAGGCTCCGCAACTCCAGGCTTAGCAGCTCCAGACGCAGCACCCCTTGGCTCAGCAGCTCCTAACCGAGCACGCCCAGGCTCAGCACCCCCAGTCGCAGCACCCCCAGGCTCAACACCTTCAGAATCAGCACCCACGCGCGCAGCACCCCCAGAGTCAGCACCCCCAGGCGCAGCACCCGGAGCAGTACCAGAGTCACCAACAACCTCGACCGGCTCGACTGCGTCGACCTGGGACACACCTGAAGGGGCAGGACTCTGAGGGGGAAAGGGGTCTACCAGGGGGGGACCTGGCACAAGGAAGTGCGGTGGCGGGGGGAGGGAAGGAGTGCGGTAGGGGAAGAGGCGGTAGAAGGGGACTGACTCGTCAAACGTGATGTCCTGGGAGGACAGAACACGACGAGAGGAGGGGTGGTAGAACTGCCACCCTGGGGCGTCAGGGAGGAAGCCTAGGAAGACACAGGGAGCAGCACGAGGGGACAGCTTGTCCGCAGACAAGTCGCGGACAAACACCCGGGATCCCCAGACACGGAAGGCAGACGCATCGCCGACCGTCCCCGTCCACAGCAGAGCTGGGGAGGTCTCCTTCCAGGAGACCCTGGGGTGAAGGTTGATCTGATGCGCCGCGTACCGAACCGCAAACGGCCACAGAAAATGGGGGGCAGCCGCATGCATCATGGACGTACGAGCGACGTCCATGACCATGCCAATGCGGCGCTCAGCAATCCCATTTTGCTGTGGTGAGTCCGGAAGCGTAAAGGTCTGGCGGATGCCTCGCGCACGACAGTAGGCTCGCAGAAGGCCAGAGGAGAACTCTCCACCTCGGTCAGAGTGCAGACGCAGAACAGGAAAGTCCGAGCCGAAGCTCCTCCTGAGCTGGAGACGAGCTGCGCGGATCCAGTCGATCAACACCTCAGTGACATCACCCTTGCTGCGCAAGGGGAAGACTGTGGTGTAACGCGAGTAGTCGTCAACCACCAGCAGGAAGTAGCACTCGTGACTCTGTCCACGGACGCGGGCCGGACCCCACACGTCCATGTGAAGCGTCTGCAGAGCAGCCTCTGTCGGGGGAAACTGGGAGGAGTGAGGGGCAGCCCGGAGCCGCCCCTCGACACAAGGGACACAGGAAGGTCCTGGCCCCAAAGGAAGGGGAGGGAGAGACCGGGGGAGACCAGAGACAAGGACACGGGAAGCCATGCCCCGAAGACGAGGCAAGGAGGGGTGGCCAAGACGGTGGTGCCACAAGAGAGTCTCGTGAGACAGGAGGCGACACGAGCAAGGGCCAGACTCAGGACCAGACCTGGACGCAGCAGCAAACACCTGACCCGACGCAGCTACCTGGCCAGACTCAGGGACAGGAGGAGACTCAGTGGTCAGGGTGTAGAGACTCGACCCCGGCCGACGCGAAAACGTGGCCAGGTGTTGGCCTGTGCGGGCGTCCGAGCAGTGGGTCACCCGCTGACTCGCAGGAGTAAACTGGTGAACCCCCGCATCCTGCAGGTCAGCACCACTCACCAAGTTCGTCGAGAACGAGGGGAGGTACAAACCAGACAGGGTGCCTGAGGGGGCAGCTGGACACGGGAGGACAGTGGAAAAGTGAGAGAGGACAGGACCCCCAGAGGGGTCAGCCAGGGAGACTGCAACCGGCCGACCAAGCGACGTGAGTGTGGTGCGGTCTCGAAAGAAGGAGCGAGAAGCCGCTGAGTCAAGTGTGAAGGTGAGGGAGGCCGAAGCCGATGCAGTACCTGCGAGCGCAGTCTCACCAGTACCTGAGAGCGCAGACGCACTGGCACCTAGAGCAGCAGCCTCACAAGCACCTAGCGCAGCAGTACCAATGCCCGGGTTGGGTGGGAAACACCGTTAACAGTCACCCTCATCACTAATAGTCACAGCATACATGGCAGCAAGGATAGCATCAAAGTCAAGATCAAAAATAGCTACACCAGCCCTAGACAGCTCTCCCCAGCGGGGAATCTCACTCGCCTCGGGGAACTGCTGACGCCAAGCGTCCGTCAGGCGGCCAAAGCAGCGCAGGGTGGGGTGGGCACCCCCACACTGCTCACCCGCGCGGTCGCCGGAACGAAGGACGTAGGTGCACGGACCAAAACCCCCACCACGCTGACGCTGCGTGTACCACTCACGCAGCTGCTGAGGCGGGGGGATGTCCCGAGAACGTTGCTGCTGCTGCTGCTGCTGCTGCTGGCACTGACCTCCACCAGAGCCGCTCCGCTGCAGGGCACCACCCCGACCAGCTCCACCCCCTCCGCCACCGCCGCCTCCACCTCCGCCACCACCGCCGCCTCCGCTCCCACCGCTGCCGCCGCCACCGCCTCCGCCTCCGCTGCCGCCGCCACCACCACCACCCCCGCCACCACTCCCACCGCCACCCCCACTCCCTCCGCCGCCTCCACCGCCACCGCCACCGCCCCCGCCAGCTCCACCCGCGCCCTTGCCCCCCTTGCCCTTGCCAGGTCGACGTCTCCCGTTAGGGGCAGACGCCGCGCCGACCGACTCAAGACCAAGCAGGTCGGCAGCAGCAGCAGAGGCAACAGAGGGCAGCAGGGGGGAAGGAGAACACCCCTCAAAGATGGGGGTGCGAGGGTCACCACGAGAGGCTCCTACAGCGACGATGCTCTTCTCCGCCGCCAGGAGGGCCTTCTCGAGGAGGTCAACAGTGAGAGTGGTGGGACAGACTGAGAGGAAGTGGTCCCTGACTACGCGAAGGGAGTCAGGGAGGCGTGTGACTATGTAATAGAGAGTGATGTACATGGGGGGAGGGTTCTTGGCGCAGAACTCAGCAGGAAGCGCGGCGCAGTAGCGAGTGTCACTAGTGCGCAGGTGTGTAATGAGGTCAGAAACTATGGGAAAGTCAGCTAGGTCAGGAAAGAGGTACAGTAGCATGAGGCGGCTCAGTGCAGCAGTGGCAGGGGAAGAGTAGCGCGCAACTACAGCGTCGTACAAGGTCTGAGCACTCTTGTACTGCCTAAAGTGCGTGCGCTCAGTGGTAGGCAGGTGGCGACGCACAGCAAGACGTGCAGCAGCATCGCGGGTGGCCCACTGAGAGCGAACAGTGGGGTCAGCATCAGCAGCAGGGGCAGGAGAGGCGCCAGAGGTGAGGTCAAAGAGAGAAAGACCGTCCGCCCTATCGCACTGTAAAAACAGCTGCAGGTCGTCGACCCAGACCTCAAAGTCAATGGCTCGACCCTCAGCGTCAAAAGCGAGGACACTAGGGGTAGCCATGACGACGACAGATGAGCAGTGCAAGCAGTAGGGGAAGGGCACGCATTGACAGTGGGGCTGTGCTCACCGGACAGGGCAGGTCGGGCGGCTCTGCAGTAGGGCGGCTCGGCTGCTCGGCGGCTCGGCAGCAGGGCGGCTCCGCTGCTGGGTGGCTCGGCGGCTTGGCTGCTGAGCGGCTCGGCGGCAGGGCGGGTCGGCGGCAGGGCGGCTCGGCTCCCGGGCGGCTCGGCGGCAGGGCGGCTCGGCTCCCGGCGGTTCTGGTGCAGGGCAGCGCGGTAGTCGAAGATAGGGCGGCGGGTGGGCCGCAAGTAGGGCGGCGGGTGAGCCGCAGGTAGGGCAGCTGGTAAGCCGCAAGTAGGGTGGCGGGTGGGGCCGCAGGTAGGGCGGCGGGCGGGCCGCAGGTAGGGCGGCGGTAGGGCCGCAGGTAGGGCGGCGGGTGGGCCGCACGTAGGGCGGCGGGCGGGCCGTAGGTAGGGCGGCGGGCGGGCCGCAGGTAGGGCGGTGGTAGGGCCGCAAGTAGGGCGGCGGGCGGGCCGCACATAGGGCAGCGGGCGGGCCGCAGGTAGGGCGGCAAGTGGGCCGCAGGTAGGGCGGCGGGCGGGCCGCAAATAGGGCGGCGGTAGGGCCGCAGGTAGGGCGGCGAGCGGGCCGCAGGTAGGGCAGCGGGCGAGCCGTAGGTAGCGCGGCGGTAGGGCCGCAGGCAGGGCGGTTGAAAGGGCCGCAGGTAGGGCGGCGGTAGGGCCGCCGGTAGGGCGGCGAGTAGGGCCGCAGGGCGGCCGGGCCGCGCGATGCAGCGGCGGGGCCGCGAGGAAAGGCGGCGGGGCCGCGAGGAAGGGCGGCCGGGCCGCTAGGTAGGACGGCAAGGCCACGCGATGGGGCGGCTGGGCCGCGAGGTAGGGCGGTGCGACAGGTCACTGCAAGGGCGGTGCGCCGCTGCCGCTAGGGCGGCTCGACGCGACCGTAAGGGCGGAGCGACGGGCCGCTAGGGGCGACACGGCGGATCGCTAAAAAAGGGAGAGCGCGACTCGAGGCGCGCTTCGGTGGGCCCTAGGAACGGTCCCTAGGAGGGGACCTGCTCTGATTCCATGTGAAAATGAGAACAAGAATGAATAAATTATGAATGAAGTGGGTACAAGTACTAACCCTTATTGGGTTGTACCCCCTATGGGATACCCCACTATAGCCTACACAAAAGCATAAGCTATAATGTTCTGACAAGACTAGCCGATGCACCATTTTCTCTACACATGTGCGTTAGTTACCATTCAAACCCTTACGTTCACTAGATGAATATATTTCATACCTTCTATTTGAGTGAGACCACTAGATTCCGTGCACTATGCGAGATCTGAGCGGTTCCATTCTCCCTGGCATTTGCATTTAAAGTTCCCATACTGACCGACCTGGCCAATGGACCATTTTCCCTATACATATATACATGTATGTGCGTTAGATACCTTTCAAACCTTATTAGCTGACTAGATTTATATATTTCCCACCTTCTGATCGAGTGAGACCGCTAGATTTCCTTTACTTTTTGAGAAACGAGCGTTTCCGTTCTCCCTAGCCCTACTTGCACTATAAGTCCGAAATGCCGGCCAGATTGGCCGATGCACCATTTTCTCTACACATGTGCGTTAGTTACCTTTCAAACCCTTACGTTCACTAGATGAATATATTTCCTAGTTTCTATTTGAGTGAGACCACTTGATTCTGTGTACTATGCGAGATCTGAGCGTTTCCGTTCTCCCTGGCAATTGCATTTTAAGTTCCCATACAGACCGACCTGGCCAATGCACTGTTTTCCATATAAATGTGCATTAGATACCTTTTGAACCTTATTAGCTCACTAGATTTATATATTTCCCACCTTCTGATCGAGTGAGACCGCTAGATTCCCTTTACTTTTTGAGAAATGAGAGTTTCCGTTCTCCCTGGCCCTACTTGCACTATAAGTGCAAAATGCCGGCCAGACTGGCCGATGCACCATTTTCTCTACACATGTGCGTTAGTTACCTTTCAAACCCTTACGTTCACTAGATCAATATATTTCCTACTTTCTATTTGAGTGAGACCACTTGATTCCGTGAACTATGCGAGATCTGAGCGGTTCCGTTCTCCCAGGCATTTGCATTTTAAGTTCCCATACTGACCGACCTAGGCAATGCACTATTTTCCATATAAATGTGCATTAGATACCTTTTGAACCTTATTAGCTCACTAGATTTATATATTTCCCACCTTCTGATCGAGTGAGACCACTAGATTCCCTCTACTTTTTGAGAAACGAGTGTTTCCGTTCTCCCTGGCCCCACTTGCACTATAAGTGCGAAATGCCAGCCAGACTGGCCGATGCACCATAGTTTCTACACATGTGCGTTAGTTACCTTTCAAACCCTTACGTTCACTCGATTAATATATTTCCTACATTATATTTGAGTAAGACCACTAGATTCCGTGTACTATGCAAGATCTGAGCGGTTCCGCTCTCCCAGGCATTTGTACTATAAGTTCCCATACTGACCGACCTGGCCAATGCACCATTTTCCATGTAAATGTGCATTAGATACCTTTTGAACCTTATTAGCTCACTAGATTTATATATTTCCCACCTTCTGATCGAGTGAGACCGCTAGATTCCCTCTACTTTTTGAGAAACAAGCGTTTCCGTTCTCCCAGGCCCCACTTGCACTATAAGTGCGAAATGCCGGCCAGACTGGCCGATGCACCATTTTCTCTACACATGTGCGTTAGTTACCTATCAAACCCTTACATTCACTCGATTAATATATTTCCTACCTTATATTTGAGTGAGACCACTAGATTCCGTATACTATGCGAGATCTGAGCAGTTCCGTTCTCCCAGGCATTTGCACTCTAAGTTCCCATACTGACTGACCTGGCCAATGTACCATTTTCCATATACATATGCATTAGATTCCCTTCGAACCTTATTAGCTCACTAGATTTATATATTTCCCACCTTCTGATTAAGTGAGACCGCTAGATTCCCTTTACTTTTTGAGAAATGAGCGTTTCGGTTCTCCTTGGCACTACTTGCACAATAAGTGCGAAATGCGGGCCAGACTGGCCGATGAACCATTTTCTCTACACATGTACGTTAGTTACCTTTCAAACCCTTATGTTCACTCGATCAATATATTTCCTACCTTATATTTGAGTGAGACCACTAGATTCCGTGTACTATGCGAGATCTGAGCAGTTCCGTTCTCCCATGCATTTGCACTCTAAGTTCTCATACTGTTTGACCTGGCCAATGTACCATTTTCCATATACATATGCATTAGATTCCCTTCAAACCTTATTAGCTCACTAGATTTATATATTTCCCACCTTCTGATTGAGTGAGACCGCTAGATTCCCTTTACTTTTTGAGAAATGAGCGTTTCCGTTCTCCTTGGCACTACTTGCACTAGAAGTGCGAAATGCCGGCCAGACTGGCTGATGCACCATTTTCTCTACACATGTGCGTTAGTTACCTTTCAAACCCTTACATTCACTAGATGAATATATTTCCTACCTTCTATTTGAGTGAGACCACTAGATTCCGTGTACTATGCGAGATGTGAGCGCTTCCGTTCTCCCTGGCATATGCACTAAAAGTTCCCATACTGACCGACCTGGCCAATGCACCATTTTCTCTATACATGTGCGTTAGATACCTTCCAAATCTTTTTAGCTGACTAGATTTATATATTTCCCACCTTTTGATCGAGTGAGCGTGCTAGATTCCCTCTACTTTTTGAGAATCGAGCGTTTCCGTTCTCCCTGGCCCCACTTGCACTATAAGTGCGAAATGCCGGCCCCACATGTACGTTAGTTACCTTTCAAACCCTTACGTTCACTCGATTAATATATTTCCTACCTTATATTTGAGTGAGACCACTAGATTCCGTGTAGTATGCGAGATCTGAGCGGTTCCGTTCTCCCAGGCATTTGCACTCTAAGTTCCCATAGTGACCGACCTGGCCAATGTACCATTTTCCATATACATATGCATTAGATTCCTTTCGAACCTTATTAGCTCAATAGATTTATATATTTCCCACCTTCTGATCGAGTGAGACCGCTAGATTCCCTTTAATTTTTTAGAAATGAGCGTCTCTGTTCTCCTTGGCCCTACTTGCACTATAAGTGCGAAATGCTGGCCAGACTGGCCGATGCACCATTTTCTCTACACATGTGCGTTAGTTACCTTTCAAACCCTTACGTTCACTAGATGAATATATTTCCTACCTTCTATTTGAGTGAGACCACTAGATTCCGTGTACTATGCGAGATCTGAGCGGTTCCGTTCTCCCTGGCATTTGCACTCTAAGTTCCTATACTGACCGACCTGGCCAATGCACCATTTTCCATATACATATGCATTAGATTTCTTTCGAACCTTATTAGCTCACTAGATTTATATATTTCCCACCTTTTGATCGGGTGAGACCGCTAGATTCCCTTTAATTTTTGAGAAATGAGTGTCTCCGTTCTCCTTGGCCCTACTTGCACTTTAAGTGCGAAATGCCGGCCAGACTGGCCGATGCACCATTTTCTCTACACATGTGCGTTAGTTACCTTTCAAACCCTTACGTTCACTAGATGAATATATTTCCTACCTTTTATTTGAGTGAGACCACTAGATTCCGTGTACTATGCGAGATCTGAGCGCTTACGTTCTCCCTGGCATTTGCATTTTAAGTTCCCATACTGACCGACCTGGCCAATGCACTATTTTCCATATAAATGTGCATTAGATACCTTTTGAACCTCATTAGCTCACTAGATTTATATATTTCCCACCTTCTGATCGAGTGAGCCTGCTAGATTCCCTTTACTTTTTGAGAAATGAGCGTTTCCGTTCTCCCTGGCCCTACTTGCACTATAAGTGCGAAATGCCGACCAGACTGGCCGATGCACCATTTTCTCTACACATGTGCGTTAGTTACCTCTCAAACCCTTACGTTCACTAGATGAATATTTTTCCTACCTTCTATTTGAGTGAGACCACTAGATTCCGTGTACTATGCGAGATCTGAGCGCTTCCGTTCTCCCTGGCATTTGCACTCTAAGTTCCCATACTGACCGACCTGGCCAATGCACCATTTTCCATATACATATGTATTCGATTCCTTTCGAACCTTATTAGCTCACTAGATTTATATATTTCCCACTGTCTGATCGAGTGAGACCGCTAGATTCCCTTTACTTTTTGAGAAATTAGTGTTTCCGTTCTCATTGGCCCTTCTTGCACTATAAGTGCGAAATGCCGGCCAGACTGGCCGATGCACCATTTTCTCTACACATGTGCGTTAGTTACCTTTCAAACCCTTACGTTCACTAGATGAATATATTTCCTACTTTCTATTTGAGTGAGACCACTTGATTCCGTGTACTATGCGAGATATGAGCGCTTGCGCTCTCCCTGGCATTTGCATTATAAGTTCCGATACTGACCGACCTGGCCAATGCTGTCAGAACATTATAGCTTACTTATTTGTGTAGGCTATAGTGGGGTATCCCATAGGGGGT